GGATTTGACTGTTTTTCTTTGCTGCTGCTTCGGTGCTTCGTTTAGAAATTGTCATTTTAGTATTTCGAATTCCCAGCTCTGCTGATTTTCTGCTGTTTCTGCAGTTTTCTGGCTTCCTTTGCTCTCGAGTGCTACCGCCCCCCCACCCCACCCCGCCGTCGCCCCTATCCGGCACATCTATGAGTATTTTGGTTGGCATTGCTGAATTAAACCAATCACTACTATTTTCACACTTAACTTGCAATTTGCATAAAATATTACCCAAGACCCAACAGTCAAGCAGACGCTGTCACTGCGTGGAGGGGCAGGGGCAGGGGCGGTGGAGTGTGAGTTGAATGGGATTTAGGGACGGTTGGACCGCGTACCCAAAATCTCAACAGGGTGGCAGCGAGGGCGGGGCATTGGACACAAGATGTTGGCGCTTGCAAATAAGTACGCAGCCATTGACAGTTGCGTGCGAATTTCTTTTTATTTCTTTATATACATTTTACACCATCACACCATTACAAACACACACACACACACACTCATTCACATACTAGGAGCATTGAAATTGTGTTTAGTTCTGCAAAAAATATATTTGTATGTATGCATGTATAAAAAAGTAAATAAAAAATGTACTTTTTATGTGCTGGCAACGCATTCAACACGCGCTCAGCAATCTCCGCTTTGTTCTTGTGTGTTGCGTGTGTACGCTATTAAATTTCAGCTACAAGTGTATTTTTTTTTGCAGATATTTCATATGATTTTTGTATATTTTCGGCATGCATATATGTATGTGTGAGCAGAGAGCGTGTGCAGTCATTAGTGCAAATGTTGCCTAAAACTCGAAAACTATGAAACTGCGAAAACTTAACTAAACGTGGCTCGAAACAAACCATTTACACTACATTTAACAAATGGGTTAAAGCTCAGACAGCAGCAGGACAGTACAGCACAGGCCTGACCGGCTCTGAGCATGCCTGTGCCACGCCCCGTCGACCCCGCCGGCCCTCCACCCGTCAATCGTGGCTGTAATGCGTGCCTTTGACGAGCGCTGACAAAGGCCTTTCAAGCAGCTACGCGCACACAGAAGACATTAAATGCCCGTTTTGCACGTGTCCAAAACAGAGAAATGGCCCCGTTCTCTTGGCCAGCTCCCCGTAAGTGTTCCGGATAGAGGTAAAGTGCGTGTGAGACAAATGAAATTTGAATCTAGTGAAAACGAACCGTTAGTTGCCTAGGAAGTAAACGAAATGTACGAAAATATTTAAGTAAAATTAAAATTAAAATTTATACAAATATTTATTTGTATAAAAATCATGTAAATGCTCTATTTAAAAAATTTATATTTAATACATAAAACATTTTAAAATTAATACAGAAAAAAATCCTTTTTTTATGTAAAAATTTTACTACACAAAAATCTCTAGTTTGCCCAACATAAACAATTTTATTTCAACTGTTTTGCATCTACTTCGATTTCAATGCGAACAGCACTTTCTCATATATCTGCCGACGTGTTTTTAATTGACTAATTGCTGAAGAGATTTTTCGGTTTGACAACATTTTGGCAATATCAGTTGCGCAATCCGCTTAAATCAAATCATTAAAATGCAAAGAGATTTTCGGCCAGCACATCGTGGTCCACTGTGAATTGTCCATTTGCTCTAATGTTTCCAACTGGTTTTACAGCCAGCCCTCAAAGCACTCTAATGCCAGCAGACACTCGCAAACAGAACACACACTAGTATGCATGTGTGTGTGTGTGTGTGTGCAGTGTGAAGCGCTGGCATTGTGTTAACAAATACACTTAGGCAAACACATAATTTCGAGTATTTAACTAAAATAAACAGGGTGTAAAACATTTTATTGCATGTGAGGAGTGCCACTCCTCCGCTCGCCCTACATGTTGAAGTGCTATATGTGTGAGTGAGTGAGTGTGTGTGTGAGTGTTTGTTTGTTTTTTTCTCTCTCTGCAGAGCTAACGCTTTGCATTTTAACAGTTGCACTCGCACAGACACAGACACAGACACAGACACAGAGACAGACACAGACACAGACACAGACACAGACAATCGGACACACAGAATATTTGCATTTCAGTCACTTGCACTTTTGACTGCTACTGCTGCCACTCCTGCTACTCCTGCTGCAGCTGCTGGCCTCACCCACGCTCGACGGCCCGCTTTTGGACAGCTCTGATCCTTTTACGCTGCTCTGTCTTTCTCTTTTGCCTTTTTCGCCTGGCACTTTAGCACATTTCCATTTGCAATTGTTATATCCTTCTTTGTGCTTAAGCATTTGTGTGCGTGAGGGTGTGCGTGTGGGTGTGTGTGTGTGGCTGCGTGCCTCGAGCGTTTTGCTTTCCTGCATTTTATATTAAACAATATGCCGCTTAAAGAGCTGCACGCGTTAATATTCATAAAAAAAGAAAGCCGAAGAACTTGGCATGCAGCTAATTAAAAGAGCTGTAAATTACGCGCGATGTGAGCCAGCTAAATGCAAATGCAAAAACCTTAAATAGCTGCTAAGAGTGTGAGCTAGGGCCAGTCAAAGGGATAGGGAAAGCGATGGGGAAAGGCCGCTTGTGCGTGGCGTGGAACGGTCACCTTAATTAAAATGCACAATTTTGCACTTTTGGCCAGAGAGCAAGCGGCATTTCTGCTGCATTTGCATTAAAAGCGCTCGCGCCAACAACAACAGCAACAACAACTGCAACAGCAACAACAATGTCACCCAAAAATATACATATATACATATATATAAAAAAGAGGAAGAAAATATAACTACAGTTGGCTACTTCGCTTTGGCACTGTCATGCAATTTATTTGCCAACTACTTTACACTTTTTGCATTTGCCCGCCTTCGCTCTTCGAGCTGTCCTTCTCCTATTGGACTTTATTTTATTTTTACTGTTTTTTATATGAATTCAAGCCCCCTCCTCTTGCGTAGCCTCTGCTCTTAGTTAGTCGCTGTAATTTTGTTGCGGTCTGCGTTCATTTCGCGTATGAGCGAGCGTCGCGTCGCATCTGTCCCCCGCTTGGCCCCCGCTTGCCCCCTGTGCAGCATTCACAATTAAAAAGCTCAACACAAAATTTACATTGTCGCTTGATGGCTCTGCTGGCCACAGACATCGCAACAGCCGACGAGCTTGTCGCCCTGCACTAGACGGACACAGTCGTCATCATCATCATCATTGGCTTTAAGCCGGCCCAAAGAGTTGGCGACGGCAGCTCCCATCGCAGCTTCCGTTAAGTCAAAATTAAAAAAGGGAGTATATATGTTAATATTGGAATGAAAATATCGTGCAGCACTAGAAAGTGCGTAAATTAAATTTTAGAAATATATAAATACTAAAGTTAATTTTTGTCTAATTTAAATCTGCAAAGAATTGGATTCTAGGAACTGTAATACTGTAGAATAATTCCTCTTTAGTATCACAATAATCAAATATCAATTAATTAACTCTCAAGCGAGCATTCTTTACTTTAACAACGCCCTTAACTGTGTACAGGGTATCTCGTAGTCAAAAGTTTCTAATTTATATCTACTTAGTGGTTGGTTTTTTGGTTAGGCCCGAATATGACGTTAGAGCCCCATAAAATTGTAACACCACTTTATGCGTTTTATGCTTTATGACCGCAAATGAGTGTGCACAATGCGGCAGTCAGACAGCCAGGGGAGTCTGTACAGTATTCACCCTCTCATCTCTCGTCTCTCGTCTCTCACTCTCGCCCTCGTCCTCTCTCTCTTTCTGTTGGCGGTGCAACTTTTATGCACGCACACACACATACGTAGCATTCGAGTGTGCATGCTCGGCATTTGCTGCCGCTCTTATACTCTTCTAACCTACATAATCGAGTCAATAAATATGTTGCAATGCCATTGAGGATATATATTTATCGACATAAGCGGCAGTAAATGTCAAGCATGCAACATTCAAATGCTTTGCATGAGTGCGTGAATCTTTTGATTCAGTTAGAAATATGTATAATTTAATCGAGATATGCTGAAGTGGTTCTCAATTCTAAGAGAAGTCAGTCCAAGGCCTAATTACTGTGAGTTCCCAATTATCTATAGAGTCTGGTGCACTTGAAATTCTCTTAATTTAATTGCTATCGTAATCTGAAAAGATGAGTGCGAGCTTTGAAGGAGATTTTTATATCTGTGCTCCATAAGGTAGAACGGTTTGTGTTAACTGTAATGTATGTATGCATATGAGTCAATATATGTATATATATTGATCAGTAGAATTTATTTATATGAAAAACTATTGCAAGTGTAGAGCACTCAGAATTCAGCTTGTCTTATACATATGTATTTTCCACTTTTTTTTTGGTTTTTGGTTTTTCATGTTGTATAAATGCTGAACTTTTTAATTTTAATTGTTAAAAGCTTTTTTGCTAAAAATGGCCACGACACTCGGACTGCATTTGGTTACCCTCCGCTGGCTGCCTCTGCCAGCTCACTCACCTCACATTCGGGCAACATTAATGCATTAAAATGCACACACAATCACAACTGCCCCAAACAGCTCAAATCCCCAGCACCCATTGCTCAGTGCCCAGACGCTCAGTCGCCGTGCTCGAGCTGTTGGCTGGCATTTTGCATTTTCATATGACGGTCAGTAGTGCGCCATGTGCAACAGTTTTACTGCCTGATAAATTAAACAGCGCACACACACACACACACACACATACACGCATATAGAGCACGCATGACAGTAGACGCGACCCCAGGCCAATCCACGAGCAGTTAAACATTGGACTTCTTTGCAGGCCATAAACCACGCACATGCACATTGCACGATATACATATAAATGTGCGCCACGCCCACCTGGCCAGCTGCCAGCGACCGACTCGTGCAACTGGCCTACTCAATATTAAGCATACGCCACGCCGGCTGCCATTCATAGATAAATTGCCCGCGCGTTTAATATGAAAAGTTATGGCGCTTGCAATTAAACTGGCCGCAAACAGCGCGCCAGACTTTAACACGGAGTCAACAGCAGAGGCAGCAGAAGTCTGTAAATCGGCAGCTAAAGAACAGCAAAGTGTAAGGTGACACAGGAGAGCGCCTGGGAGCCCTGGGGCCAGCATGTTTTCCACTGACTGCCAGCGGTGTATCAGAGTATTCAATTAAGGTGAAGCAAGTTCAATGGATAATTAAAGCTTGCCTTGTAATTCAATCACAAAATCGGATTTTTATTAAGTTTTAAACGAGAATTACCTTAAAATAGCATTGTTTCAAGAGTTATGTTAAGTCTGCCGTTGGATAAACATCAAATTCTTGTTAACTGCAAAAATAGTTTGGAGAATGGAATATGCAAACTATTTATATAGCATGCCATTTTGTAGCTCTCGCAGGCTTCAATAAGTTTTTCAGCTGCTGTTGATTTGAAATAACCAACTGAATATAATGAAAATGCCATAGTTATTCTTACATTTCAAATATGAATTCATTCTGTTTATTTGCATAAATAGTTTTTCAATGCTAAAAGGCTCAACAAATTTCCACTTGAAGCTGCCTGTAAATTGAGCTGAAATTCAGCTATTGTTCGGCTTGAAATTTTAATGAATATTTAAATCCACACTAAAGCCGACTTAACTTTTTGTAACTGTAAACGATTTTCGTTGAATTTTCACAAACCAAGCCAATGCTATTATGAATAGCAATGTGTGTGTGTGTGTGTGTGTGTGTGTGTATGTGTTTGTGCCCTGCCTTGATAATTTCGAGATAAACCAACTACATATTTTCACATATGTATGTGCATAATACAATCTCATAAGCAGACAACACACACACACACATACAGAGGACAGACAGTCAGCAAGAGTGAAAGAGATAGCGAATCGCACAGCAGGCGCACGCTTACAAATTTTGTAATCCTTTAACGATGCGAGCAACTTCCGGCTTCTGCTTTTGCCTCTTGCGCACGACTCCACAGGCAGTCAGGCAGCTCTCTGCTGTGCTCCGTACTGCTGCCCCCTGCCTGGCTGATGGTGTCATTGTCTTGCGTTCTTGTGCCTCATCATCGCATAATTAATCTTCAAAAAAATCATCAGTCGTCGCTGGCATTAATCTTTGTTAAAACGTTTCACGCAACTTTTGGTCCATTGTTACACATACGCCGTGTGCGCCGCATACAAATTGAGGCTTTCGAATGTTGTTGTCGTTGTTGTTGTCGTTGTTGGCGCTCATATCATAATTGAGCGCCAGCCATGCTGTTGCTGCTGATGTAGTGTGTGGCATGGCGAAATATGAGTGTTTGCTTTCGAGCCCACTTTGTTTTTATTTACCAATTTCCTTGGCCGCAACGACTTAAAGTCATATGTGAGCATAATTTTCAACACTTTATATACTACACTCGAGGGCGGAGCTGAGTGGTGCCATGGAGTGGGTACGTAGCGTGCATTGGAGTCAACCGAGTTCACTTTACGTGCAATGATAAATGATGGTCTTACATAATGCAACTGCTGACAGGCACAAGGCTGTCAGCGGAGGGTTGTGCATACGTGTGTTTTTGTGTGAGTGTGTTGTCTCTCTCCCTCTCTCTCTCTCTCTCTCTCTCTCTGTATCTCTCTTTCTTTGTCTGTGTGTTGGTGTGGCTATAATAGAAAATAATGAATGATATGTTTTTGACACGTTGCCGCTGTCATTGTGCCCCATTCAATTTTAGATCTTTGCGTCATTTTGTCGCGACGCTTTAAGTTTCTGTGTGCCGATGCCGTCGACGTCGACGTCGTCTCGATTCGCGGGTTATATGGAGAAAGACATCTTTGGCATTGACACTGCTGACTACTAGGAAAAACAGCAGCAATAACAACAACAACAACAACAATAATAATGACAACAACAACAACACGTAGCAGCTACAAGAAAAGCTTGTGCTCTTCATCATGCTCAATTTGCGCGAATTGTGTTGTCTTGTCTTGTTTCATCTCGCTCTCTATCTCTCTCTCGCTCTCTCTCTCTCTCTCTCTCTCTCTCTCTCTCTCTCTCAGCGCTGCCGCTTCCACCCGTTCTGCCTGCCGTCTGTCCCTTGTTTAGTTGTCTGTAGTCTGTTGTCAGTTGTCTGCTGCTCGTTGTCTTGTTTTATTTTCTTTTTTTTTCTGGCTCTCTTTTTTTTTTGGTGTGCTCTATTTTTGGGCAAGGGAAAGCATTCTTCAGCGTTTGCCTCGCGTTGCCATTGATTTAAATATTTTTGACACTCGGAGTTGGATAATTGCGAACATTAATCATGGCCAAGCAGCTGCCATGGCAAGCATGTGTGTTCGACTTCCGCCCTCTCGGCTCTCTCCTCTCGCCTCTCCATCTGTCACCTTCCCTGGCTCTGGTGATTGCTCACTCTTTCGGCCTGTCTTGTTATTCAACCCATTTCAGGCATCTAGTTTGCGTCATGTCGCGGACATTTTTATAATGTTCCGTTGAATACTTTCGTGCGCATTTCTTATTTCCTTATAAATTCCAGTT